TCTCCCTCTCCATCTGCCCCTTCCCCACTCACACTCTGTTTCTCTCTCTCTCAAAAATAAACAAACATTTAGAAAATAATAGTAATGCCAAACCTTAAAAAGCAACAAATGTTAAGGGCAGACACATAGTTTATATGGTCTAGTGAATCTGACACCATAATTTCCCTCAACCTCCCTCATATTAAAATGAAGAATAATATAATAGCCACATTAATTAAGTGCTTATTATATACCAGGTACTCTCCTAAGTATTTTACATGTTTTAGGTGTTTAATTCTCACAGCACCCCTATGGGGTAGTTACTGTTACTGATTGCATTGTAGAGATAACTGAAGACCCAGTGAAGTAATTTATTATAACTTCATTTGATTTTTGTTGGAGAAGTAGTCATTCCAATACCTGTGACCCATTTTCAGTAGCCTTTATTTTTCTTTCATTTTTCTTCCTCCTCTCTCCCACCTTCCCTTCCGACAAACATGGATTTTACGTGCATATGATGGCAGACACTGACCGAAGCCCTAGTCCCAGAGAAGTGACAAGTCAGACACAGCCCCTGCCTTCTTGAGAGCACAATGTTAATCCTTTAACCATATTGAGGCTGATTTTTCTTTATTTGAAATTACCAAGGCTACTTAAAATTCTTTGCCACAATTGATAACATGAAATCAGAAGAAATAGCAGTACCTACAGTCCAGCGTCAGTTGAGGGCTTCGTGATCAGAGGCTTAGGGTGTGGACTCTGGGGACAGACTACTTGTGTGTGAGTCCCCATTCCAGTTTTATTGATCTTTTCGAAGAACCAACTCTCATTAACTTTCTCTATTATTTTTGTATTCTCTATTTTGCTTATCTCTGCTCTTGTCTTGATTATTTTCTTCCTTCTGCTAACTTGGGGTTTAGTTTGTTCTTTTCTTTCCAGTTCCCTAACTTGTAAAGTTAGGTTGTGGATTCAAGATCTTTCTTGTTTTTAATGTAAGCACGAACAGCTGTAAATTCCCTCCTTAGCCCTGCTTTTGCTGCGTCCCCAAAGTTTCGGTATGTTGCAGTTTTGTTTTCATTCATACCTAACTTTCTAATTTCCCTTGTGATTTGATGATGACACATTGGTTGTTCAAGGGTATGTTGTTTAATTTCTACAGATTTGTGAATCTGTTGCTGATTTCTAACTCCATCCCACTGTGAATGGAGAAGATACTTTGCATGATATCTATTTTTTAAACGTGTTGAGATTTAATGTGTGGCCTAACATATGATCTCTCCTCAAGGGTGTTCCATGTGCCCTTGAGAAGAATGTGTATGTTGTTGTTGGGTAGAGCGTTCTATATATGTCTGTTAGATCTAGTTGGTTTATTGTGTTAAGTCTTTTCCTCTACTTACCTCTTGTCTAGTTGTTCGTTCCAAGATTGAAAGTGGAATATTGAAATTTCCAACTATTATTATAGCACTTTCTGTTTCTGCCTTCAGTTCTGTCAGTTTTTGCTTCATATTTTTTGATGGTTTGTCATTAACTGCATACATTTGTATAATTATTATATATTCTTTCTGTATTGAAACTTTATATTTATACATGATGTCCTTCTTTGTCTCACAACCTTTTGGATTGAAAGTCTATTGAGTCTGATATTAGTATAGTTACCTCTGCTCTCTTCTAGTTATTATGTGTATGGAATATCTTTTTACATACTTCCACTTTCTGTCTATTTGTGTCTTTGGATCTGAGGTTAGTATTTTGTAGACAGCATATAGTTGAATCATGTGTTTTTATTCTTTCTGACAGTCTGTGTCCTTTCATTGGAGACTTTAATCCCTTTAAACATAAAACAGTTACTGATAAGGAAGGGCATATTTTCATCATTTTGCTATTTGTTTTCTTTGTGCCTTACAGCTTTTTTTTTTTTTTTTTTTTTTTTTTTTTTTTTTTTTTTTTTTTTTTTTTTTTTTTTTTTTTTTTTTTTTTTTTTTTTTTTTTTTTTTTTTTGCTATTTCCAGCATTACTGACTTCTTTTGTGTTTGGTTGATTTTTTGTAATGGAATATTTAAACTCTTTGCCTTTTGTTTATAGTATACCTATTTTCTTTGTTGTTATCTTCAGGATTCTCTCTTTGACTTTGTCTTTCAAAGGTTTGATTAGAAAGCATCTCAGTGTGGATCTCTTTGAGTTCATCTTAGTGGAATACCTTGAGCTTCTTGGATGCTTCTATTCATGTCTTTCATCAAATCTAGGATGCTTTCAGCCATTATTTCTTAAAATATTCTCTCCACCCCTCTCTCCGTCCCTCTGTCCGGGACATCTGCAATGCTTGATGGCCCCTTGGCTCCTTTTTCTTTCTGTCCCTCGGTCAATGACTTCCATTGTCCTGTTTTCCAAGTCTGCTGGTTCTTTCTTCTGCCTGCTCAAATCTGCCTTTGAATCCCTAGTGAATTTTTCATTTCAGTCATTGAATTTTTCAGCTCCAGAATTTTTGTTGTTGTTGTTTTCTTCTTGGGTTTTCTATCTCTATACTGATATTTCCATTTTATTCACACGTTGTTGTCTTGACATTTTCGCATCTTCTTTTGGTTCTTTGAGCATCTTTAAGACAATTGTTTTAAATTCTTTGTCTATTATACAGCCATCAGATCTTTTTTCAGGGACAGTTTCTGTTGATTTTTTTTCCCCTTGAATGAGCCATACTTTTGTGTTTCTTTGTATGTTTTGTGAATTTTTATTAAAAACTGGACATTTGAATCTAATAAAGTGGTAACTCTGGAAATCAGATTCTTACCCCCCCTTCCCCAGGGTGTGCTGCTTTTTGATATTATTTTTGTTTATTGTTTTGGTTTTGTGTTGCTTCAGACTGTCTATGCTGAGGATCAGCCTGAGGTATAATCTTAATGTCTTTTCAGGTCTTTTCTGTGCTATTCCCTGGGCATGTACACTCACTTTCTGATCTTACCCATACATGCAGATGTTTCTGAATGTCCTAGTCTTTACTATCTAGCTCCCAAAAATGAAAGAAAAGGGGGAAATGAAGTGGGGGGAGGGCGAAAAGGGCACTGGCTCTTTAAATCCCTTAGAAGTCACTGAAGCCAGAGAGGGGCAGAGGCTTGCAACAACGGAGGAAGAGACAAAGAACCAATGGCTGCGTCTTTGTGCCTCTGTGATGAGAAGCACCAATCAGTGGCCAGTGCACAGATCCCTGCTAACTGGAGGACGGGTACTTTTCACCTGGCCTGGTTCCTGCAGGCTACTTCAGGAACCCATGTACAGCTGCCTGCCACATGACTGAGGGGTGGAGGATGGATAGCCACTACTGGGCTAAGAGCTGAAATTGACTGAAATTCACAATTTATAGTCCAAGCCTTTCTCCTGAAAGTTGCAAGCCTTCAGTAGAGTCCAGAGTTCCAAGATAGTTGTCAGACACCTTCTACCAGTTCAATTGTTGTCTGTGTAGAGAGGTTCTGATACTTCATACTCTTCCATCTTCCCATAATCCTTTCTGTAAGTGAATTTTCATATAATGAATTACTGTTTATATTGTATATTCTTTCCTTAATGAATGTTAGTTATGTAAGTGAAAGCTGTAGGATTTTGAGCTTTATTAGATTTGGAGAAGAATTACCAAACACCAACTATGGGTCTCAAGCAGAGAATAAACAAACAATGGCAACAAACTATTTATTTGTTTACTTATAGTGTTTTTTTTTAAGTTTATTTGTTTTTGAGAGAGCACAAAAGAGGGAGGGCAGAGAGAGAGAGAGGTAGATACAGAATCTGAGCTGTCAGCACAGAGCCCAACATAGGACTTGAACCCACAAACCTGATCATGACCTGAGCCAAAGTCAGACACTTAACCGACTGAGTGAGCCAGACACTCCAGCAACAAACATTTAAGAGATGGGTAGGAAAAACTGGAAGGTCGTGTTTCTTTGGTTTATCTGGAATTCTGTTACTTCGTATTGACCACACATTCTGATAGGCAGTTGTGTTTGCTTTTTATTAACAAAAATCTAAAATAAGAGAGATAAATCAGTGCTTAATAAATGGGATTTAATAGAGAAAAATAATTGTTTAAAACAGACACAAATTAGTAATGAAAAGATTAGGAATCACTGCTGTAGAACTTTTATGAATATTAAGTAATTTTCTAATGTTTCAAAATATCAATCATAGTATGCACAAAAAACATAGTTACCTGCTGCACATTATTTAAATACCTGAGTAGTCATCAAAGATTGCAGAATTTTAGAAGAGAAGACTTTAGAGATTTGTCTTATTTGCTTGACTGACTTTGGGTTGGATAATTATTACTTTAGAAATTTAATTTTTTTTCCTAATTCTCTGAAGATGGGTATTACAGTGGAAAACATCTTAGTAGAAGTCTGATAAAATGACATTGGTTTGTGGCATAGTGGATGGAATATTTCGATATGCTGTGTGTTCCCTTCAGATGGAGATAAAACTATTTGAGGGTCATTTAGCATCCATCTGTTACACTTTTAGAGAGCATTTCAGTTTAAAACAGATTTTGAAAATTAGCCTTTGAAATCGTGTATAGACTTTCTGAAAATGCCTGTCTAGCCCACCAAAAGAAGCGTGATACTCTTCAATTTAAAATTTCCAAAAGAAAATGACAGAGGCTTTCAAAAAGTAATCAGTTTTTCCATGGGTAACAGTGCCAGTGGTTTAATGAGAAAAGCCAAAGTTAAATTTATTATATAGTTAATTAGAGTTTTAGATTTTCCACAGTACTTTCAGAATAAAGGCTATTAATTTTGTTTATTGAACTATAAATTAAAACACAGTTACAAATGTATTTTTAATCATTAATACTACGGCTTTTCATGGCCCAAATAAAGAGCACCCACTTTCTACAATCGGTGTTCTGGAGAGGAAAAGTTGTACAGAAAGTGAAAGAAAAATTCTAATGGTACTTTATTAAAAATACAAACACCCCCCCCAATGGAAATGCAAACCTATGAGAACACATGAATGTTCTGACAGCCATGCCGCTCTTTCAGCTTCTACAGATGACAGTGCAGCCGAGAAGAAAGGGGGAACCCTTCATGCTGGCCTCATTGTTGGGATTCTCATCCTGGTCCTCATTATAGTAGCCGCCATTCTTGTGACAGTCTACATGTATCACCATCCAACGTCAGCAGCCAGCATTTTCTTTATTGAGGTAAGTGTCAAGAATAACACATGAAAACCACGCTGGTTGGTGAACTCTGTGCATTTGCTCACACCACCTGTATTTCATATTCAGCTCGTGATTTCTGCATTTTGCAGTCGCAAGCTGGCAGATTTCACACATGCATGCCCGCACGCGCGCACACACGTATTGATAGATTGCTTTCATATGATAAGTTCACTTATCTCAGGAGCTTTTAAAGAAATAAGCCCTCTTGCTTTTCACAGATCTAAAGAAAAATCGAAACCATAACTTTTTTGTCCTATAATACCAAGTATGTTAACCAGCTGTTCTCCTGATCCTAGAAGGAAATTCAGCATGTGCTTACTTCGCTTAAATATGTGGATGATTAAATACTAATTGACTATTAGTACTCCATACTAATTGAGTATTCGTACAATACAATAGGGTAGGCCTGCTCTCAAGATGCTCCCAAGCCATTTAGGGAAAATATAGCTTTCACTACGGAAGAACAGTTATAACAATAAGATAATGGTATGTGCCATCACCATTTTGTGTAATGTGTGTATACGGAGATATTTACATGTAAATGTGCACGTGCATACACACACACGCTCATACAGACACAAAGAGAACACTATGCTGAATTGGTGTTCTGTTTTCATGTACAGAATGTAGATTTAGTTCCAGTTCCCAAGAACAATCAGGTAGGAGGACCAAGCCAAGCTCTGATGACCAGAAGGCCTGAAATTGGGATGCCAGGAGGCCACTGGGTAAAGTTCATGTCACATTCCGTGCCCCAGACAGTTGGAATTCCTGGGACCCCACATGTGCAGCCTTCATTCCAGCCTCTTAATGGGGCGACTCCTATTCCAACCCCAAATAAATACTAGAGCAATGAAGGAAATATTCCCACTTAGAGTTTCAAACCTATAAATTTGAAATCTTTTCCAATTCATTGGGTGACATACAAAAAAGTGGCTTAGAATTTTGTTCACTTGTTGGGTAAGAAATTATAATAAATTTTAAACTAAAGAATTACCTTTGTCCTGTATAATAGGGAGAGATGTGTGCTAATGAATTAAATAATTGCTCAGAAGGCCTACATGATCTTCAGCGTCTGTAGAATAAAGTACAGTCTCCTGAGGTCAGCCTTCAAGGCCTTGGCAGTCTGTATCTTGTTTACCATCGATCTTTATCTCATGGTTCTTCAACCTGGAGGTGACGATACCATCATATTTCATGTTGTGCTCTTCTCCATACACACTTCAAATTTTTAAGGCCGCATAAGCAAGACATTGCTCATTCTGGTTCCTCCACCAACAAAGCCCTCTCCACCCCAATTCTTAAATTCAGGATCCAAACAGGCTTCAATGCCCATAACCATCTCTCTGTCTGGACAGCTGAGCATAATCTCTCGTCCTCCTCTGAAATTCCATCCACAGTAATTCATCCGTGTCTTTCTATAGCATTTACCTCTCTGTTTCACATTAGAAATAAATACACGCATGATTTGTTCACCCCCACAGACTTAGAAGTTCCTTAAGATTTGGATTAAATCACAAAGTTTCTTTCAAATAGGTATTCTATCAATATTTTCTGGAAAAAATATCCTTCGACTTCTCGAACTTCAGTTCAAGTTTCACAATTATGAATTCCAGAAATGGTGTCCTCATTTAAAACCAGAATAATTGAGAAACAGCCACATGTTTCATTTCGTTGGAAAGCTGTTTTTAAGTTTTGCCAACATGCTTTTCATGGAAGAAAGCCGAAAACTTTCCCGGGTCGTGGATGTATTCCTCAAACCCCTGACATGTGACTCGCTGCCAGCCTTCAGTGACTAATCAGATATCAGGCTGCTGCTATAACCCCTTGTATGTTTAAGCCTTTTAATGCACTGGGAAGTTTATTTTCTGACATTGTAATAAAGAAGATTCTGTGAAATACCTAATGGCGATGGCATTGGTGGCAAATTGCATAGGGCAGAGGGCCTAGTTCACGTCAGTTCACGGCAATCCCCGTGTGGATGCAAGGTGAGACTGTAGAATAGCGAAAGCATGGTGTTTTGTTTTTTCATTTGGCATTCATCTTATAGATAATTTAGTTCTATACCCTCATAAACAAAGGAATAGACTGAAGCTCAGAGTGGGGCAGTGATTTCTCCAAGGTCAAAACGCCACAGTTTTATAAAGAACCCTCTTATCTCTCCACACTCCGATAAGCAGACTCATTCTGCAGGTTCCTCGGTTTTTCTCCCCTCTGCCTGTTTCCTTCCCACTGGGGTCAATGGCCAGTTCCTACTCAAATCCCTTCCTCTTCAACACCCCTGCTTGCTGTCCCCGTGTAGCTCACCGTGACTGGTCAACAGGTGGTTTTTGAAGATGATAATCATAACTTTACTATTATTAAAACACAAATGTTGACAAACTTAAAACATAGATCCCTGGTGACTGCACAGTTACTGACATGCCAGATCCAGGAATTTGAAAGTTCTGAATTACTGATTAAATTAGAGGCTTTGGCACATAAAGAAATTGAGTTTACCAGTATCGTGTAAATTGCTTTTCATATTCTTCATTATTCTGCTATCTACTTTTTATTTTTATTTTTTTTTATTTTTAAAAAAAATTTTTTTTTCAACGTTTATTTTTGGGACAGAGAGAGACAGAGCCTGAACGGGGGAGGGGCAGAGAGAGAGGGAGACACAGAATCGGAAACAGGCTCCAGGCTCCGAGCCATCAGCCCAGAGCCTGACGCGGGGCTCGAACTCACGGACCGCGAGATCGTGACCTGGCTGAAGTCGGACGCTTAACCGACTGCGCCACCCAGGCGCCCCACTGCTATCTACTTTTTAAATGAAGTTGATGTACTGTCTCCCATTGTGAAAACAATACTGTTCATTATAGAAAATTTGCAGAAATGGAAAGTAGAAAAAGTAGTATATCATTTATAGTCTCAACACGCAGAAATAATCACTATTACTATTTTATTTTCTGCTGAAATTTTTGTATGCATAATTTGATGTTTGCCCACATAGTATAACTGTGATTTCACTGAAGTGCAAACTGGTATTTTTTTCAAATAACACTTTCCTGTTTGTAAGCATCATTGTGATGGCTGTATACTATTCCATTCAACGTTCACTCAGAAGCTTTAGATTGATTTGCCTCTTCTGCTGTAGAGTGGTATTTAGAAAGTACTGAGGGCCTGACATTGCCAGAAGTAAAAAAGAACCTTATTTCACCCAATTTGACTGTACTTGTTTCCTACTGCTGCTGCAACAAATTACCACAAACCTAGTAGCTTAAAAAACGCAGGCTTATTATCTTACAAGTTTGGAGGTCAGAAGTCCAGAAGTAGTGTCAGCGGGCTAAAGTCAAGGTGTCGGCAAAGCTGGTTCCTTCTAGAGGTTTCAGGGGAAGTCGTTTTAATGTCGTTTTCAGCTACCGGAGGCTGCACGCATTTCTTGACTCCTGGCCCCTTCTAATCATTCCAACCCCTGCTTCTGTCATCACATCTTCTACCAACTCTAAACCCCTTGTCTCCTCCTTGTAAGGCCCCTTGTGATTGCATTGGGCCCAGTTGGATAATCTGGGATAATCTCCCCATCTTAAACTCCCCGATTTAATCCCATCTACAAAGTTCGTTTTGCCATAGGAGGTGACATTCACAGGCTTTGGCTGTTAGGACGGGGACATCGGAAGGCTATCATTCTACCAACCACAACCTGCATCAAATGTAAGATGCATCACACACTACCCATTAAACTGGTCCTTGACCATAAGACACCTTCCAATTATTGCGAGATGTGATCCAGTATATTTCTTGTGTGTTTCATGATGAAATCCAGACTGCATACGGCACTTGTAGGAATTAGTTCCTGTGCTAGACATTGTGTGTAGTGTGGTGAAACTTAATGACTTTGCCCTTGAATGGCTAGACCAGAGTTCATGCAACCAGTCTCCTATTGTGGAGCATTGGGGCTCTTCCTTTTTCTTTTCTACTATAATTAGCCCCATCATGGCAATAATAATGGTAATAGTGAACATTTATTACATTCACTAGTGGAAGTGATTTATACTTATTACCTCATTTAATTCTCACCAAGATTGTAGGATGTACTAAGCTTATCTCCATATCATAGATGAAGAAACTGAGGTACAATATTTAGGTAACTTGCTCAACATCATGGAGTTAGTGATGGAGTCAGTTACTGATGGAGTCAGATTGATTTAGTTACTGATGGAGTCAGAATTTGAGCCCTGGTTCTCCGGAGACCATAGCCTTAACCACTGGGCCATGCTACCTCTCTGTATGTGAAGGGACTTTCTTTATGCAGTGTATGTAAAAATATGGGAGGATATATATCTAAGGATTCTCAAAAGTAGAGTCAATGGAAGGAAATAAACTATTTAATGGCACTTAAATATTGCCAAAATCATTGCCCAAAGTTGTGTACCAATTTATGTAGCTACTGTTGCTATTATCAATTTTTAGTGAAGATAATGACAGTGACTGTTGTCTCTGTGTTTTGTTCTTGCAGAAAATATACACCAGTTACTGTACATTTCATGGATACCAACCCTCTTCCTCATACAAAATATGTAAATGGGCCTTAGATTTTAAATGTAATGTTTGTAGTGAAAAATTGGATAAAATGGGAATTAAAACTCTACAACTACATCCTTATATGAAATGCTAAGTGAATGGGACAAAAGGGAATGAAATGACAAAAATAAAGAGAAATGTAGATAAGAGTCAAGAAACCTTGTGATAAAGCATAGCAGGACCTTATATATTGTGCAGTTAAACGACAATTAAATTGCCGGTTCATCCCCTGTGTCTTCATATACAGGATCAAGTACGGATTTTCATTCTCCTAAGACATTCAGTCTTTACTCAGTCTGGCAGAATAGTCTATTTTTCATGAATTTATCTTCTCTACTCCTCTGTCATCCTCTTCAGATTTTACCCTGAGCACTTTCTTTTATTTGTTTATTTGTTTGTTTGTTTGTTTGTTTTGGGGGGGG